CACAAGGTACGGAATAAGCGAGTAACAGGTGCGAAATATGTGGCATACTGAAAGTGTACGCTTTTGTCTCCATACAACAAAACATACGGGAAACCCTCATTTTTATTCATTATTATCTATAAAATCTATATCATCATCATCTTCATCAATAAACACAGAAATTGGAACATAGTTTTTCGAAAATTCTACATGACAAAAAAATAAATAAAACATCATTTTGTGGTTTAAACTCTTTACAACTTTTTTAGTTTTTAAAAAAAAAGCAAACTTTTATTTGTTGATGGCGATTTTTATGATTTTTATTTAATTATTATTATTTAGAATTATGAAAATTCACATGTTTAATATTTAAAAACCATAGATTCAATATTTCTTCCAGGCGCTGACTGTATTTATGAATTCATAAGGCTAATACAACCAATATTTCTCGATTGATTTTAATATATTATATACATAATTATTGGTGGAATTGTTAAACTCATAATTACGTTACAATAATTAATAAATTTTCGAGTTTCTAGGTAATGAATGATCTGAACTTCCATGTCTTTTATTAATTATCATAGGTGGTGACGACAGCAGTGCCTTCATTCAACATAATTCAATGCCATTGGTGAAAATGCGACAAAGCCTTTTATTATCGGCTATGCGAATAGAAAAAAAATAACGTTAGATAAAAATAATTCATATTCAAGAATATTAATAATTACAAATTATCCTATACTTTAGCTGGTATAACAAAAGTTGATGTTGTCATCATTATTATTATTCGAGTATGATACTTTACTCTTTACTATTACCCTTGTTATTTGGGTTGGGCAGGGACGCAGATCATATAATATAAATAGTAGGTATGTTTTTTTATAAATTGATAAAAAAATATACTAATACATATCTTTATTTAAGCTATTTTATATATCGAGACAAAATTATAACAACCCTTGTAAAATAAATATATATTTTTTAATTTATTTTTATATATATTACAAAATATTTTATACAGGGAATGAAATAAGAAGTTGATTGCAAGCATACCATACTATATATATAATGAACAAAATCAAGAGCTTATCAATAAAGTATCGTTTTTGATGATGCTACGTGATCTCGATTGTAATAATTAAATTCCTTTCAGGATTGTGTAACAAGTGACAACGATTGTAAGTTAGAGGAATTTAAAATAATATTAACAAATCACTAAACTAATACCAGTGATGGCTTTATTTAAATGGCGTCAACTATAACAATCAACAACATTTTATAACTATAATGCGCAATTGTGTATTGTTCATGTTTATCAATGGAATAATAATAACAAAATGTAGCAGCTATTTTGTTTATCTAACAAGGAGATCTCTGATTTTGTATAATAATATGGTGATATATAGGTAACGCGAATTCACGATCGTAACACAATAGATATAGTAGGATTTTAACATTGTTAATATTGATTTATTTTTCGATAACGTTAGTAACGCGAGCAGTGGCCGTAACACGTTATTATAACCAAAAGTATGATAGAACAATAAAGTAATTAATATCTATCTATGATACACTCACAATTTACTATACTGTTACAGTCTGATTGGATCGTCAGTAACATGCTATTTCCGTATATAAAGTACGCACAGTTTAATTATTATTAGTAATGTTCAGTATCAATATGGATTCATTAGTGTTTCCATGCCGGTACCGTTCTCATATTTAACACGGAAATGTGCGCCTTTTATAGGCATCAGTTATTGTTTTGAATATATTTTTTCTTTGATGATGCTACACCAAATGGAGTTCCCTGTTATTATTACTATTACTATTATTATTACTAATACAAATAATTCCGGAAAACATACGGAGGATTACTGTTTTTCCATATTAATATTAATACGTTTTCCGGTAATTACCGTACAGAAAATGTATTATACAGAATACAAATACTAATACTAATACTAATACTAATTATAATACTAATACGGACTTGCGGGAAATATAAATTCCGTTTGTGTTCTATTAGTATGTACAAAAAAACCAACCTACGGGAAAATGCGCTCTTTCACTAAAAAAGATTTCGTACCATTTCTGTATTAGTGTTAGTATTAGCATGCTTTCGGTAGATCTTTCCCGTAAAAAAATTTTTATGGATAAATTTTGAAATCTTGCAATTTCCATGATGTTTAAGTCAAATTAGGACGATGATGATTTTTTTTTTGTCGAGTGTTCTTTACTTTCATCGTTTAACAAAAATCTAACAAGGGAGTTTATAAATAATTTTTTATATTACATATATGGCGCGAGTCATCCTCTTGTTGCGCAGCACGGCCAAATTTCAAATATGATGCCAAATCTTTAAAATGCCAAGTCTCAATAACCCAAATAAGATAGAGTTTTCTAGCCATAACTTAACAATAAGTTTTAGATCGTGTTAATATGAAAAAAAAAAAGTTATAGTAGTTTAAAGTTATGAATACAATCACCAAAAATAAAATAAAATGACAAGGCTCGATAACCAAACAAGCTAGAACAAAGACTTTCTGTTTTATTCTAAAGAAATCATATGTAGTGATGGGCGTTTGACTGTTATTAAAAAAATTTTTTTACAACAATATAATGATATCATATAATTGTTATATATAACAGTCACACCGCCATCATCTATTAATTATATGGGAAAGCTTTTTAATAGAAAAAGAATCATTATCTGATTTTTGAAACTTTTAAAGAGATAAACATCTCAAACTTTTATTATGCAAAGCAGGTATGATCTCCAATCCAAAATATTCCAAGTGATAGTTGTAACATTAATCGGAATGCTTGTTTCACATTATGGCTGAAAAGCTCCGTAATTGCCGATCTTACAAGTCATAAGTTTTTGACTTTGGGTTTTTAAAAAATAACAAAAAGTTATAAAGTCCTGCGCGCCGTATTCTTTTCTTCCGAATTTTCCCTATTGTAATTGAATAAAACTTTTCTTCAAAATTATCTCTTCGCTCGAGAACAATGCGGGTGTTTAGAATTCCAGGACACTTGCAAAGAAAATATTTACTAATACTTTGCAAAAGTATTTAACATTGACCAGTGCAAGAAGAATTATTTGAAATCGTGGTAGTTTAATTGTGTATGGCAGTAATCAAAGTGCATATTAACACACTTTTTATGCAAAGTTCACATATAGTCCAATGGCTATATAGAACGAATTTTCTTGTATGATCTGAATTAAAAATTGATATAATAAACTTTTTATCATGTTGCGCGAAAATTTTTATTTCGGTCAGAGATAACGTTAATTATTTAAAGAGGAACTATCTTTTGGAATAAATGGTGTCATAATAAAATTATTATTATTTAAATCTTGGTCCAAATTCTTTTTTCTTGAGCTCTAATTCATATCTAGTCTTTTAACGTTCCAACTCTAATTAATTCTTTACATTTTATTTCAAGTTCTTTTTCTTTAAAAATCAATTCTATCAGCTCTTGCCTTATTATTGTTATTATTATTGTTATTTGTAATATTCGATTTACGTTTATTGCATCATTGTCTCGGGTGTATGGAAGTAAATACCTTGTCGAATGGATCTTGTTGTACAAGCCTCAAGCCCATTATTCCTCCCAGTAGTGCTACTACCAACATTGCATGAACATTTCACCATCCAGTTTACAAGATCTGTCTGTATATATAAAAATATTATCAAATATTGTTTATTAAATATATAAAACCAAAAAATAGTAAAATTTACTATAAAATGGCAGCATTTAAAAAGACTGGTTTTTTCCATAATGAATTGCTCTCGCATGAGCAGATTGGTATCACGGGCTGCCATGTTCTAAATATCAGATGGAATTTTGCAAAACAGCATTATTTAAGAGTTGTCACGTAAGTTATGGTCTTTGCATTTAATTAGCCCTGACGTGAATAATGCAATTTCTTCTTTTAATACCCTGTCATTGGAATTAGAATTGTTGGAATTATTCTAAATAATAAAGTGTTAATCGATAAAATTTTATTTAAACAATTAAATATATGATCATAATAAATGCAAAACCTTTCGAATCTCTTCCATCAGAATTTTCAAAATCCCATTCATAATAATCGAACAAAGATTCATCTATTGTGACAAAGAAATTTATTTAAATTTTTGGATAAGATGGAAATATCATACTAATTGTATAACATATAAAATTGTGACATAAACTAGCTACTGGACTACACAACCTACACCTATCATGCTATACTAAATAAATGTATGCTCGTGGTATTAGTATATTATAATATATCAGTGCCATCGAAAAATGTTCAATTTATTAAAAAAAATTCATAGTTTCAATAATTAGCTTCATGTAGGTGAATTTCTAACAGAAGTTGAAGGCCAATTAAAAGTTGAAGAAGAGGATGCTTGTGTAGTAATAAAGCCTGATGTGAATCGGGATAGATGGTAGACTTCAGAAGACTTTGTTGAATAGGTAATATAGTTGAACTTGTTGAACTTAACTAAAATTTATTTAAAAAAATTATTTATAATCAGCATGTGATTGATCTACCGAAATAATTTTATGTTGCACGCTTCTCGCAACTGTTATCGATTAGATAACATAATTCAATACCATTTTCAAGCAATTAAATAAAAAGTTCTGCGATGCCTCTTTTTTTTTTCAGTATCAAAATTTGAAACCACAAAATGCCTCCTATTGAAGAAAACAAACCATTAAAATGATGACATGTGAAACGAAACAAAAATTTGTAATTCAACTGGCTTGCCGATCAGTATTGCACCTTATCATTGTCGATCATGCTAAGAATTCCAAATATATTTATATGAACTTTATTATCTTTAAGTTAAAGGGAATTTTTATTTAAATTTTAAATTTTAAACTTTTCCACGTGTATTATTATGTAACATCATGTCATCACGTAATACGATTAATAAAATTGGTAATTAACATTTGATTTTTTTTTCTTTTTAAATATATAATCAATATTAATAATATTTTATAGCAAATATAAAAAAATGAATAAAGACAATATTCAAAATTCTGATCGAATTGTAATTTATACAAGAAATTTAATGAAACAATTTCCTGGTACAAAGGATAACAACGAAGTAAGTTACTATTATTATTGATATGATATAAAAAAATTTTATATTGATATTAATAATTTAAATATTTTTTAGTTAATTAGTTCTTTAGAGAATCTATTAAAAACGGTGATACTCAAGTATAATCTTGATTTGGACATAATTGAAATTCCCGAACCATCACTCTTAGATCATAAAATCACTGATGATAGAAGTGATTACGAAATCACAGGTTAATAAAATACAATATATTATATTTGTATGAATTTTTGTTTTTTGTAAAAAAAAAAATCGTTAATATTTTCTTTATTCTATTTTTAGCTAAATTATTTCTTTTAACATCAGAGAAATCATTCATTTCACAATCATTATATTATTTATTTAGATTACTTGGTATTAATTACTTGGATACATTGATCATTCATTTTCATGGCCTTTTATACACCGATAAAGATCAACTAGTAGGGGAAGATGGGAAAGATGGGAAAGATGAGAAAGATGAGAAGATTGAAGATGAAAACACAGAAAACAAAGAAGAAAAAAAAGAAGAAAAAAAAGTGGATTTTAATTATATAATAAATGTATGGCAAGAATTAGAAAAATTATATGATGATAGATATATTGGCAAATTAGGTGTAAGTGAATTTAATATGAATAGATTGAAGAAACTAATTGATGCTACAAAGGTGAGAAGAATTTTATTTCTATTGCGATATGAATTATACTTTAAAAAATTATTTATATATTTAATAATTTATTTATTTGCAGGTTCAACCAAAGATCGATCAGATTAATATAAAGAACCTTTGTTCTGTATCTCGTGAATTAATTGAATTTGGCAAGAAAAATGATGTAGAATTATTGACTCATAGTGATTCTGATGGTAAATTCATTTAATTATTTTTATGTGAATTTTTTTATAAAACAATTAATTAAAATGATACCTTGCTAATAATAATAATAATATAATATCAATTATCAGTAATTTTACCACAAGAGAATTTTCACAAGATTATAAAGGGATATACTGATTCAATGAAAAAAGCCACCACTGATAAAGTGTTAGATGGTTCTGATGAGAATGAATATGTGCCACAATGGGTAATAAAATATTCTGTGGAGATTAAATGCAGGGGAATAGTTGCCAATAAAGGGTAAGTGATCTATCATGATAATATGTTGCAATTAATGTATTATATTAATATTATTCTTATAATATCATCACAATAATTATTAGATATATTGTTATGGCAAGTAAATCTGAATCTAGTAATCTAGAAAGAAAATATAATTTGGGCGAAAAATTTTTATAATTTAAAATTGAAATTACTGTAATTATTAAAAAATTTGCTGTAATTATAAACTTTCTAATATAATAAATTAATTTTGTGCTGAGTCTTGTTTGTGACAAGTATAACTGATATACAATGACTATCAGCCTTGAACAGAATATCCCTTGTCAGATCAATTTATATGTTAATCAAGAAAAAAATTTTTTTTTCACTTGTTTATTTACATTTTTATTCATTTATGCCTTAAAATAATGCTAATAATAATTTTTTTTTTAATAATAGGCATTCACACAACAATTCTTGGCAAAAATTAAAAATAGATCGAGTTTATTATATTTAAATTGGCTATTAACGAGCAAAGGAAGTAATTATTTATTTTCTGGTGACAATTTGTTGGTGGATCTTTGATAATTACATCAATTAATCTTTTTAAGTCATTTTTTAAGGAATAGCGTCAGCAAAAGCGTAAAAGGACCGCCAAAGAAATAGCCTCAGCTAACACCTGAGTGACAAAGGAATTGGGTGATGAAAAGATTAAAAAATATATAATAAATTTTTTGTCAAATTTGTAAGCGTGACTTAAGTGTCTCTTGGCAACGTGATTGAACCAAATAAAGTGTAGGATCATATTAAACCATCAAGGTAATTCCTTCAAAAGAATTCTGTCTCTTTTATAATCCCTCATTCTAGAGAGTTACCCGACGATTTTATGTTATTATTATTAATAACAGGCATTATGTCTGTTGCAGGTTGGGTATTCGTCATCATTTGATTATTCTCTAGCTTGCGTAGGAGAATTCATCCGTGCTTCTTTGGGGAGTCAGATGAGAACAAAAATTTGTCAAGATTAAAGTTTAATTTGTAAACTTGGATTTTGACAATATTAAATTTAAAGCATATCATTTTTTTTTTTCGGTGATTAGGATGATCCAAATTTAAAAGAAATAAATTGGTCAAGTAAAGTAAAATGACAAAATCCATATTGTATTTAGAGACTTTTAATTTATATTTCAAAATATTGTACAATAATAAATTTTAACAAAGTTATAACAATAATAAAGTTTATAAATAATAATATTGATTTTCTTTAGAGTTACAGATGTACGCGTCACTTATTTCTCCAGTTAACAACAGACAAATCTAACTTTGTTAGACACGCCAAATATCTATTAATCTTTTGCTATTTTTTAATTTAGTTTCTCATTTTTCTCATTTCAGATCTACAAAGAATTGTAGATTATAAATTCATGTGATACCACATCTAATTCGCGGCAAACAAAAAAAATTTATCAGATTATTATTATTCATTCTTTTAGAACAGTACACATAATAATGAATTCATCCAAAATGGGGTTTTCTTTTCATCACTTTCCTATTACAAAGACCTTGGTAATGTATTTACATTTATTTTATATATTGTGTTGAGCATTATTTGATTTGATTAATAGGTTAGTAATTTTTATATTAACAGCAACATCAACAACTGAAAATTAACAACAACAAAATCAAAAACAAAAACAGTAATAATAATTTAAGAATCGAACGTGAAGCTAAAAACAAAGAAAATGCCAAGCCATCCTCTTCTATTAATAATAGTAATAATAATATTATTAGATCAATTGACCTTCCTACTAAAAAAAACGAAGATAATAGAAAAGATTTAATAATTGGAGGCTCATTGTCGTCTTGCTCATCTTTTGAACTATCTTCCGGACCTTCGCATTCCTCTCCTTCCTCTTCTACTTCGAATATTAGGTAATTTTCACTATTTTGGGTAGCAAAGTCAATGAGTGGATCAATGAGCCTATTAATCAATCTGATCACTTGTCCACTCGATCAATAGCCATAATGAACCAAAGATTTGGACATTAAACAATTTTGATATTGGATGTGGACTTGGTAAAGGACAACTTGGACGTGTTTATCTTGCAAGAGAGAAGACTAGTGGATATATTGTCGCATTGAAAGTAATGTCTATATCAGAAATTATTGATGCCAAGGCTGAAAAACAATTAAGAAGAGAGATTGAAATACAAAGTAATATAAGGTAGACAAGTAAATATTTAATTATTGATATAGGTTTATTAATTTTGTTATATTAATTGCCATATTGATTATCATTATAGACATCCAAATGTTCTACGTCTATATGGGCATTTCCATAATGAAACACACGTATTTCTAATTCTTGAATATGCAGCTAAAGGAGAGCTTTATAAGCAGTTAAAACAATGTACTAGATTTACTGAAAAACGCGCATCAAGGGTTTGTACATTTCATTCAATTTAATTAGTGTGTAAGGAGGATATTGATAATGATATTAATTCAAAAATAAATATATACAAATAATAATTATTAGTATATTGCTCAAATGGCAGGTGCTTTAGCTTATCTTCATCAAAAGCATATTATACATCGTGATATCAAACCTGAAAATCTTTTATTGGGTTCAAATGATGAACTTAAAATAGCAGATTTTGGTTGGTCAGTACATGCTCCCAGTCAAAGGTAATGTAATAATATATGCACTAATATCATTATTGTCCATAACATCCATTATACTAACATATCCTATCTAATAAAGACGTAGAACATTTTGTGGCACATTGGATTACCTTCCACCAGAAATAATCGAGTATCAAACTCATAATTCAAAAATTGATCTGTGGTCCCTTGGTGTTTTGTGTTATGAATTATTGTCTGGCTCTCCACCATTTGAGGAAGAAACTGGCTATCGTGCTACATATAAAAGAATTAGGAAAGTTGATTTTAAAATGCCTGAACACATTTCAGAAGATGCTAAACATTTAATTGGATCGGTAAAATTTTTTCTTATTTACAAAACAAAAAAAGAGTATATTATTTCTTTTATCAAATACTTTTATTTTCTTCACGCATACGAACATGCACAAAAAAATAAATCAAATAGCTTCTCCAAAGAAATCCCGATAAACGATTACCCTTGGAAGAAATCTTGAAGCATCCCTGGATTTTAAAACATAAGAAATCTACTTTTAATAATAATAATTATAATAATAATTATAATCACTATTGTTAAAAATTGTTTTTATTAATCTTGGTTTACAGTATATATATATTTATACAGAAGACATCATCAGAGTTCTGTTCATCAAAAAAATCTCCATAGGAGAAAAAGATTTTCTCGGTGGTTTCTTTTTGTTTAAAAAAGAATAACCCTCAATAATAGTGTTTTAAGTATTTCTTTTTAAAAATATCCAATTTGGACAAATTACATTATTTTTGAACCAGCCTGATCGCAAACTATATTAATAAATTTTTAAGGAATATTAGCTGTTAATTAAAAAGAATTTTCTTTTTGTTGTCCGTCACTATGAATAATAATATTACTAAGAGAAGTAACTTCGACCAGAAACCTTAGTGCTGTCCTCAAAGCATCTTAAATTACATAAAAGAGTTTGGTGGGTTTTACAAACAAAGTGAACATATATCAAAATTAAAGAACAAATTAATCACCGAGATGGACATTAACGAATCGTTACTAGAAGAGAATGAAACAATTAAAATCAAAAAAATAAATAATAGACGTGAAAATAATATCACCAATTGCAAAGTATGCTTGGATAAGTCAATAACACATTGCCTCACGCCATGTAACCATTTGTTACATATTTTTAATTTACTTTCTTTTTTACTTGTTATAATAATTTAACTTTAATACTGATTGAGATATTAACTGCTATTCATTTTCAATATAATAATAATATTTATCATCAATATAAAAGTTTATTTTATTGGATTTGATCAAGTTCAGAAACATACTTCACAAATTTACATTCTGCAACAGTTTATAAGTTTATAAAATATGAAAGGATTCTGGAAACTTATGGTCTTATTTATGTTTCTCTTGATTTACAAGAGAAACTAATTCCTTTACAAAATGTTAAAGTGATGTAAATGGTTTGTTATTCACAATTAATGAATAATCAATTAATAATTATAATTTTTACTAACAATATTCCCTCTTTGGATTTTAACATTGTTGATAAGATTACTCAAGGTAACTAGCAAGCAAACAAATATGTTTAATTATGACATTTATTATCATTTCTTATTTTTTTTTTATTGTTTAGTTGTAATCTATCAAACATATAAAGATGTAAAAATTTATGAAGCTGCAGCAATTTGTGATTTTGAAGCAGAAATTGATGGCAAATATAAAGTTAAAGGTGTTGTGAAAGAATTGATTAAGCTGTTGATGTAATAATTTATAATATATATGTGCATTAGTTAATAGACTAATTATTATTATTATAGAAAGGATGTTTATTTGCTTGAAGAATAATTATCAGATGTATTCCAATGCTCAATTGGAAATCTAAAAAGTAATCAGACGTAGTCATCAAAATCACTTATGTTGCTGAACTTAAACATGACTCAGAGAATGGAAAAATATGATTTTTTGCAAAAAGATATGGATGGATCTTCTTCAGCAATAAATTCAACAGCTAATGATGGTAAAAACTTGTACCTGATGATATAAAATATTCTGGGAAAGCAAATTATGAACTAGATTTAAAAGTTAATTGTAGAATGACCTCAGCCATTCAATAATTGAGTCTCCTTCTCTTACTCAATTGAATGTTAATGGCAATTCTTAAACTTCTAATGTTACTTTGGCCAAACATACAGTATTACTTATTTAAACAAAGATTTTGCTTTAGTTGCCATGAATGAAGATCTTGATAAGCCAAGGTAGTTTTAATTAATTAGCTAATTAATTGTTTATATGTGTATTTATTATTATTATTATTTCTATTTATTTATTAAGGCATCTCTTGAATATAATCCTAAAACAAAATATAATTGTTTAATGTTGACATCAAGGTTGGGTGACAAAAATATTTTGGAGTGTAAAAAGTATTTCGTCAAATGGGGCACATGTGGCGAAATGTGACGAAAGTGATGAAAAGTGACAAAGGGTAAAGTCAAAAGTCAAATTGTGATAAAGATGACGAAATATAAAATTCAATTTTATTTAGATTTAATTAAAACAAAAATTTAATTTTAAACATTTTTTTACATTGTAAATCATGTTTCTTGGTTGGATACTTAATTTTTGTACACAATGTTTTAGTAGGAATTGCTGCTTCACATCTATTGCTGGTTTCATAACTTTCTTCAAAATCTGTAGAATCATCTGATGATTCTGATTGTTGAAATGATACTTCATTTACTATTTTAATGGAGTGTAACCATACATCAAACACAGGACATCCTGTAGCTAATTCTTGATTATTGTTAAATGAACTTTCAGGTATATTATCTAATTTTAATGTTGCAAATTCATATTATATGATGATGATTGAGAAGGAATTGGTGAATTGGGTGAATTAGAATTTGACATCATGAATTTTATTTACTCCATAATTTAAAATCTACAAAATAATTGGTTTATTTTATTGTTTTGTTGATTTTGTCACATTCATCATTTTGTCACTTTTGTCAAATTACTCAAAGTGTAGAAAACCTATTTCGTCACATTTATTTTCGGCATGTGACAAAAAGGAGACATTTCGTCACCCAACTTTGGTTGACATTAGTTTCATGTTTATCACATTAAATTTACAGCTTTTATCAACACATTGAATCAAATAAATAAATTTCAGAAGAATTACTAAATAAATGAACTCATTGGAGCTAATTCACAGTGAATCTCAATTTAACAGATAGTTTGGGCAATTAGGGAAAAATCTGTTAAACCAGAATATCTGCTATATTGAGAAGGTTTTTATTAAGGTTTATTATGGAACTGTTCTTTGAACTTTATCTGTAAAACTGAGATTTTTAATTAGTATCTGCTAAATTGAAGTTCACTAAATTGAGATTCACTGTGTATACAACATTTTTTTATAAACAAGGATAACTATTATACAACATTTTCTATTGGGATGTTGACCATCATGTGTCTAGTTGAAATTACATGATACCATGTTGGACAAAAGTGTACAACATTTTGTTATTGCCATAGATCGGCGGGAAATGTCCTGTGACTGTCATTACCGATTTTTCCCGTTTATAGAATGATCAGTAACATTCACGTGACCACGCAATTTTTGATTGGAAATTTTTTCTCAAAAGGCACAGTAAGTTGCATATTGTGAGATCAAAATCCGCGTCTCACACAAATCTCTAGATTTTATTTATGATAATATGCCAACAATGTTAATACAATTTCTTCCAATTTATTTATACTAAATCCCAACAACAATTTCCGCGAGTGTATATTTATGCTTTACTCTCAAAACTATCTTTTACTATCATTAAACAATTTCTTATATAAGAAATACTAAATAATATCTTCTTTAGATTTTACAATATGTGTCCTGATCACGTTTCTTGGTGGGTGCCCTTCTCGCCGTTTTCCTCTTTGCTACCAAGTCACGTACGTCTCTAAAACTACTAAAAAGTTTTATTAAATATTACCTTACTAAAAGAAAAGAAAAGAAATAAAAAAATAATAAAAATAATAGAGACAAATATAAAATAAGATAAAATAATTATGCACGGGATTAGTATGAATTCGTTGTTGGAGATAGATTTATTATCATTACGAAAATATAATATTCGAAGACAACAAGGACAATGACAAGGACAAGGACAAGGACAAGGTTAATGACAGTGTTATTTATTTTCTGGTGACAATTTGTTGGTGGATCTTTGATAATTACATCAATTAATCTTTTTAAGTCATTTTTTAA